GGAGCCCCAGTGACATGTAGCTCTGAACTCATCACAAGCCGAAGCATGTCCTCCAGTGCTCTCTCCCAAACCCCTGTGTGATCATAGGCCCCATGGAATCCCTTCCATCAGCCTAGGCTCTGCCAGGAGCATTCATGCTAGAGCAGTCCCTCTCAGCCAGTGCAATCAATATACGTTGTCATGGAAACAGAACAGTTATGTGGGCCTGTGAGCTGGGGGAGCTGAGTCACAGAGTGTCCTGTCCTTCCTCTCAGTGAAGAGTGCTGGGGAGGGGAAATTACAGGGAGTGGAGTGGAAAGAGAATATGGGGCAAGAGAGAGACTAGGGAGTGGGGAGAAAGAATGCAGGGGAAGGACTGGCACAAGGAATTTTGGAAGGAAAGGGATAAACAAGTGGGGGAGAGCACAGTCCTGGGGTTGATTGTGTCAGAGGGACGCTTTTTGGGAACTCCAGGGGAAGTGGAAGGGGAGTGTGGAGGAGCGGGGTTTGCTTAAAAACACAGGAGGTAGGAGAATATGGTAGAATGGGCAAGTTGTGTGGGGAGGGATAATCAAGGGAAGAGAGGCAGACCAATGGGAGAGATAGGCTAAGGGAGGAAGTGGGTGAAAAGAAGATGCAGAGATGAGGATGGAGTGCAAAATGAGAATGTGTGGGGAAAAATGAAGGGGAGCAAGGGATTGTTGGATGTGTGTGGAGGGAGAGAGACCATGAGAGCAACCTGAGGGGAGAGTCTGGGAGAGGTGGAAAGGATAAAGGAGGGTAAGAACAAAGAGGGCAGAAGGGAGAGAGAAGGGAGAGGGCAAGGAAGTGAGGGAGGAATTGATGAAGAGTGAGGGGGAGGATAATAACAACACAAGGGCTCGCAATAGTGGGTGTGGAGGTGTAGTGAGGCTGATACTGGGAGATCTGTTCTCCCTGTTGCCTGCTGATGAGGTTTGTAACTGTGTATCCTTTTGCCTGACAGTTTTAAAGGTTGAGCATGGAGAATTCCTGTGGCTCCTGAAGGGGAGAATGACTGTGAAAGGAGTTCCCTGTACATGTTTGTCTATGAGGCTGATCCTTAGGGGATCTCTGGACCACCAGACACTGAACTCAAACCCAGAGTTTTGCCCATAGCCAAGTAGATGGCCTAGAACAGCGGTTTTCAACCTTTTATGCTTGGGGTACCCCCCAGCAGATGATCAACAAGCGGAACGCCAATTGATGACGGGGGGGTGGGGTGTCACCCGTGCAGTGTGCGGTGGCAGAACCAAAAGTGCCAGAAGTGCAGGGCAGAAGCACCTGTGGTGCACAGCACCAGTGAAAACAAAAGCACAAAGTGTTGGCAGCCCTGCCCCACTCCTCTCTGTGCCAGTGGTGCGTACCCCCTAGGACCTTCCCAAGTACACCCAGGGGTACACATTACTCCCCTGGTTGACAAGCCCTGGTCTAGAATGGTAAACTCCAGTTTGAGCCCTCAGGGTTATCTTTGCACTAGCCGTGGAGATGCTGATTCCTTTGTTTTTGTTCCTGTCTCCCATTCCGTCCTCCCTTGCACCTTCCCCTTTCCTGGGAGCTGCTCTCTCCTTGCTATTGTTTGGGGCATTAGCAGAGAAATCAATTTAGTCCCCTGAAATGGAATTCTATTTCCCTTTGTGCATTGAAATGGTACTTTTCCAGCTATGGAAGTCATGTTTTTGCTCCTTATGCACAGGGTGCATTTCTTTTTCCCCGGCAGTGTGGATGAATAAGTGTGTATACATATAAGTAAGTGCAATAGGCTACATACTGGCAGGCTGCTATGCAGCTATGTATATTTGCCCATTTTTATTTTACCTTCTTCTAAGTTATGAAGATGTAGATGGCCAGACAGGCCACATCCAGACAAGCAGGGGTGTGCGCTTGCAGCAGGAAAAATTATAGCAGCGCAAAATTATGCCACTACTTTGTGCACAGTGCACACCCCTGCATGTGCACTCTGTTGAGGGACAAATTGTCCCACTTTGGGCAAACTGCCTTTTCCCAGCTCCTTCCAGCTCCTGGTGTGCTGGAGCAGCCAGGGCACAAGTGAAATAGAGATGCTCTGGCTGCCAGCCAGAGCATCTCCCTGGAGGACCAAACTTCTGTTTGCTCTGGCACATGCTATTGTAGCATGCTCCATGCTGCTTTTTTTTCTCATGCTTTTTTTTTTTTGCTACTGGGAAATCAAAGAGGTTTGTAGCACCAGAAACTGCATGGCCCTGCTCATCTGGATGTAGCCAAACTCATGTCTTCAGAGGAGAAAGAGTCTCCTGTGGGTTAGCCCAGTAGTTGAGTGGTTAGAGCACTTACCCAAGAAGCATGAATTCTAGCTCCTCTCCACCATGTATGAACTTTTAGCACTCTGCCTGCCTGACATAGTGCTCTATCCACCATGTCACAGGTCAGGTATTTCCCCCTTGTTTCACAAGAGCTTCTTTTGAAGGTGGCCATCCGTGCAGCCAAGAGAGGCAGATATCGCCAGAGGTGAACAACAAAGATGATCAAGGGCTTGAAAGGCCAGTCATCTGAGGAGAGGTTGAAGATGCTAGCCATGTTCAGCTTGCAGAAAAAGCACTTAAGGAGGGGTATGATAGCAGTCTTCAAATACTTGGCGGGCTGCCATAAAGAAGAAGGAAAACACCTTTGCTCTCTTGCTGGAGAGAGGAGGATGTAGACTAATGGCTTGAAGCTGCAGCAAAGTTTAAGTTTAGACTGGATAGCTGGAAAAACTTCACTGTTAGAATAGTGAAGCAGTGTAGCCTAGGGAAGTTGTGGACTCCACATCACTGGAGGTGTTCAAGATGAAGTTGGACAGCCGCTGGTTGGGGATGATCTAGGCATAGCTATGCCTATCTTCTACTATAGGTATTTCCCATGCTTCTGGCTTTGTTGGTTGCCGCCCCCTGTACCTTCCCCCCCCGGCTTTTCTGCTATATGTCTCAGGGTATTTATAAGCCTTCTCAGAGACATTGAGTGCTGGCTAAAACCAAGGCTTGGGACTCTGACTAGGGTGTGCCAATGCTCCTGCTGGGACCAAGTCAGAGGTTCCTGACTAGAAGGTCTTATCCCTCTGCTCAAGATCAGACCGATCGCCATATTTGGAGTCAGGAAAACATTTTCCCCATAGTCAGATTGGTATGGACTGTGGGGTTTTTTTGCCTTCCTCCACAGCAGAGGGTGTGCCCCTCTACCTGGGAACCTCTTTAGCATATATTGAAAACATTTAATAGAAGCAGCACTTTGGCTGCTATGGTTCCCCTGCTTTACCCGTGGCAGATTAGGGCAGGGGCAGGCAAAATATGGCCCACAGACTGGACCTGGCCTGCCAGGCAGTTTTATTCAGCCTGTGGGTGCCCATCAATTAATTGAACCCTTCCCAAACCCCATAGTTCACCCCCACCCTCCTGTGTGGGAGGGCCCCAGCCCTGGCAAGCATGTACAGCTTCCAGGTGGGGCTGCTGCTGCCACTGCTGCAGCTGCCACAGGACCTGCTTAGCTTCCCTGGATTCCAGCAGCTCCTCCTGTGTCTCTGCTGCAGTACTTGCTCTGGGCACCAGGTATGGAAGCTGCAGCTGGGTGGGAATGCGGGGCATGAAGCTGGCAGGAACACAGAGCCCAGGGCCCATGCCCAGCAGGGTGGCAGAAATGTACAGACTGGGTGGGCAGGTAGTGGGTGTGGTTTGTGGGGTGTGAGAACGGGTAGGGGGGGTGGGAACCTCCCCAGCTGCCTTCCCCATGGTGTACAGCCCCTGCCATTGCCAGCAGTGGAAGCTGTAGCAGACAACAGGCCCTCAGGGTGCTCATAGCCTACATAGCACAGCTGCCGGTAGCGCATGGCTCAAGCCAGTTCTGGAAGCTGCACATGGCGGCAAGGAATGGAGTCAGGCTGCCCGACCTCTATCGTGGGGCTCATGTGCAGTTATCAGAACACGCATGCCACCAGGGAGAAGCCCTGCGTGATGAAGCCACTCCCTGGCACCATGTGCAGCTCATGGTACCCCACAGGAAGTGGTGGGGAGCCTTGCCTCCTGCTTCCTGGTGGAGTCACATGAACTATATGTCACAGCAAGGAGGGAGGAAGGCAGCTGGCTCCATCATCCAGGGCTTCCTCCTGGTGGCATGCACATCCTGGTAGCTGCACATGAGCATGAGATATAGGCAGGCCAGACTGGCTCCTCTCCTTGCCACCATGTGCAGATCCTAGATATGGCCAAAGCTGCATGCTGTCAGGAGGCAGTGCTTGCACAGGCCACGGGTATCCCAAGGGCCTGTAGCTGCTGCCACTAGTAGCAGGGACTATTTTCCATGGGGGGGGTCATGTGGGGGGTTTCCACACCCCCCACCCTTCCTCACACCCCACAAACCATAGCCACACCTTGCCCAGCTCCCCAACCTTCCCACATATACACACACCTACAGCCCCCACCATACCCTATACCCCACCCCACACAGCCACACTCCTTCACAAACCCCACCCCCCACAACCCTCCCACATATACACACACCCACAACCCCCAACATACCCTACACCCCCCCACACACAGCCACACTTCCTCACAAAACCCACACTCACCCACCCACACCCTCCATCATACACACAAACACACACTCCCAACCACATACCACACCCCCACACACTGCCCCGCTCCCAACAATATATAATTGCAGGACATGTGAGCAATGAATGCACCCCAGGACTGCCAAGCATGTGGAAATTACCCAATCTACCAAATGACATTGCCTGAGTCCCTCTTTTGCATTCTCTGCAAAGCATCACATTATACCTTTGGCTAACTCATTTTTGTAAGTACTGAAGGGTTCATGGCCTGGGCCAGGGGTGAGATCCTCTACTCAGTCCAGGGGAGAGTCTAGGGGAATTTATTCTTTCTTCGGAGCCCTAAGCTAGTGGAGAGTTTCTTCTCCAAGAACCTTTAGAACATAGGGTAAGACATGACAATGCACAAACATGCCAGAAAAATCCAGGCACAGGCACCCAGGTTTTCACACTTTTATTGTAAAGCTTTAGGAAGGGTTAATTACAAGGGAGTTGATCATCTGACAGCTCAGCAAACAAACAGAACAGGAGAGAACAAAAAGGGGCTCACAACGGTGTCATGCTCACTGCTCCAAACAGAAAGAAATACAAGGGAATCAATTGTGCTCACAGCGCCTGGGGAAAATCAGACCCAAGGCCCAAAGCCTTCCCCGCACAGGGAAATGCATCACACATTGAGAGCAATACAACCTTAGCAAGAGGCATTGCCTTAGACATAGGTCACCATCTGAAAAATAGTTGGGTACTTTACTTTGCCATAGGATTTCTCCTTTAGAAAAGCTACACCTGCATGTACATAAAACTGTACAAAAAACAAGGCATCACAAGCAAGGAAATTAAATCTTGTATAAATAGAACCAACACCGAAGAGCTACAAAGGGGTCACTTGGATTCTTCCTAAGCAGCCCATCTGCTCCCTGGCTCCCACCTTTGGTTTTACCCCTTGGCTTGTCCTAGTGCAGTATAGATACAGTGAACCCCCTCCTCAGAGGCTCTGGTAACCCCAGATTCCTTCTTCACTGTGCTTGTCTAGACTGGAGCTTTCTCTCCCCCACATGCACAGAGGCTCTATCTTTCATTCTTATAGTTGTGCAAATGAGCTTCTCCCTGCCAGCATCTCCACCCTCTCGCAGGGCTGCAATCCTCAGCATGAACATCACCTTTGCCTCTGGACTGACTCCCAGCACCATTTTTGTCCTAATCCCAGGACCTGATCCCTTCACCATGATGCCAGTCACCAGTGCCATCTCTGCTCTTGCCCCACAGACAGATCTCTACTTACATCTGTGACCTGATCCAGGAGATTGATGCCTCTTACCATTTCTATGTTCCCCTCAGGAATCCTGGCAAGTGTCATTTCTGCTCTTGCCATGGAGGCCAGTTCCCAACACATCCTATGCCCCAGCCTGGAAAATAGGTGTCACTTTTATCTCTGCCTTCATCCCCAGAACTGATCCTTAGTGGCAGGTCCACCCTTGTCCCAGGTACTGATCCCCAGCACCGATTCCTACCTCATCCTGGGAACTGAATTTTAGTGACAGCTCTGCCCTGATCTCTGAAGCTAATTTCCAGAATTTGTTCCCCCATGCTGATTCCCAACACCATCTCCACCCTTGTCTCTCAGACTAATCTCCAACATGATCTCTGTTCTTGCCCTAGTAACATTTCTGCTCTCAGCTTGGGAGTCAGTCCCTACCACCTTGCCAGCGGGTGTCTCCAGACATCATCTCTGTTTTCAGCCTCACCATCAGGGACAAATCCCTAGCAATACCTCTGCCCTGACTTTCCAGGGCAAATTCCTCATTCCCAAACTAGCCTGAGATGCACAATGGCTCAGACTGAGGGAGTTGTAATGATGCCTCAGGCAGCCCCTGGCTCCCAAATCAAACTGAAGAGTCCTAAGCTCCAAGGCTCCTTCAGAACTACAGCCATCATGCAATCCAGGTCCAGAGGAACCCCAGGCTCCATTTTATCTGTCTTGAAGGCTAATGTTCCTCAGCTCTGCACTAGGTAGTCTCCCGAGGAGTCCCTCTTCAGAGGGGATTGCTGCCACTAATCCCAATCCAGGTGGGAGGAGTGAGCAGCTGAGTTGGCAGAGGAATCAAAGATCCTGGCCTACATGGCCAAATTGCACATTCTGCCCAGTTAGGCTCTGAAACTACAGAGCTAAAACAAGAACAAGTTTAAGTGACATGCTCAAGCAGCCAGGCCAGAGAGAGCTTGGGCCCCCAAATACTACCACCACGGGGAAGGGCAGACCCGGAATGCCTTGATGGCCATGTGGAGGCCACCTATCTTCCCCATGGGACCATGGGAACTTGTGTCCTGAAAAGAGAAGGTAATTACAGGAGAGGCTAGGAGGAAGGTCCTGCCTCCTCCAAGTGGCACCTCTGTACATTTCAATGCTAAACAGTATGGTGCCTTGTCACATCACCTGGGGAAAGAAAAGAGTTGAGAACCAGGACACTAGGGGAGCAAGCAGGGCAGGGTGATTGGGAATCAGTCCTGCTGCCACCCTTCTCTGTACTTTTTTACTTTTGGGTCATAATCTCCTTGGAACGAAGCTTGGCTCAACTTGTATCCCTCTGTTCCCAAAGTCCTGAGGGTGGTTACATCATGGAACTGACCACATTCCTACCACCCTTGCCCAAAGCAAAAAGGGAAGAACTATTTAGTGAGAGACATACTGGATAATCAGGAGGGAAAAGAAGGTGCTGGAAGGGAAAGGCCCTTGGTGCCATGGCTCTTAGCACCTCAAAGATAACTGCAGGAATTTCATGGGAGTCTCAGATTCTCACTGACTGATGAGACAAGGACTACAATGCCCTCACCCTGTGCCAGTAAAGCCCTGTAGAGCTAACCACAAGTATCACATTAGAAAATATGCCTGCAGGCCACTGCCCATATACACAATGTCCCAACAAGGGTACACAGGTATCCCTCCTCCTTCCTCTCTCCCTATGTTTAAAGATTAAATAGAGACTAACAATGAAGAAAGGAGGCTGCTACCATTGGATTTACTCCCTAAGGAAGATCCTAACAATAAAAACTGCTGAGGAGAAAGGGAAGAACAATGATGCAGCACACCCAGTCCCAGCTTCCCCAATAGATAAGGAAGAAGGATTACTTAAAGGAAAATAAGGAATGAATTACCCCCACCCTAGACAGAACTTCCCAGTTATCTGGAATTGGGATCAGGCCAGAGTTGGAGCAGTTGTGAATGGGACAGAGACCAAATTAGCAGAACAGCTCCTAAGGCTCTAGAGGATGGGAGCTCAAAAATGAGGTCTGTTGGCATACCCTGCTAGAGCTGACCAAGCTAAGGACCACCTTTCTGGGTACCTGTTGGAGCTGTTGCCATCCTATCCCTCTACTATATACTGTCTCACTGGATTTGGTACCCTGCAAAAGGAAGTTCAGATGATGCTGGCACTTGACCGGGCAGAGCCTGGGGATGGGCAGTAGGATGCCATGCCAGTGAGACTGGCCAACCTTTGACACTGGAAGAGAAAGCTGAAGGCCTTGAGAGTGGCCCTATGGCCTAAGGGCAATGGGATTCCAGTACCCAGGGACCCAACAGCCCCCAGTGTGACCCTGAGACAAAGCTCCTCTTCACAAAGGCAATGGTGGCTTACAGGCAGACATGTCAACGGTCAGATTCATGGCACAGATGTCCCCAATGGAAGTTTCTTGCCCCAAAGGAGGTGCAAGATGATAGGCTGAGGTGCAATGGCCTGTGACATTTCCCCACCAGAAGAGCTATGCCAAGGGCTTCTACAGACAATGATGTAAATATTGAATGGGGCCCCCCATTGCCTGCTCCTAGCTCTTTCAGCTTAAGCATTCATAGGGTATAGAGCCAAAAGGGACCACTCAATACAGACCCTGATTTCTGGCTCTACACAGTACCTGGGGACCTTAAAATCTGTGGGCACAGTGACAATGTCCAGAAAGAAGTCTCAGCTGAAAAAAATGTCAAGCTCTCACAATTCCACAGATAGGACATGGCTGCTGCCCTTCTCTTGCTCCTCAGTTGCTGTTTCAGGGACTAATCACATCTCTATTTACAATATAGAACAAGAGTGTGGGCTGGAAGCTGTGCTCCCATGTGCTCTTCCATGTGGCAAACCATTCAAAGCTGGAACTTGCTCCCTGTGGTTTGTTTTATTCAAATGTCTTTTGTTTCAAGGACAATAAAAGTTTAAATCAGGCAGACTTGAATGTCATTCCTAAGATTTATATTTACAGGAGTCTACAGTAAAGAGACAGGCAGCTTGCTCCCTGTGCATGGAGACACACCTCTGTCCTGTGCCCCAGGAACTCCACCAGCTCTGCATGGACCTTTGGTAACTAAGCCCTTCACCTCAGCCATGCCCACTGCACTGGGAGCCCACCCAGCCATCCCTGACACAGCAATTCAGAGATGCACTGTCAAGTGCTCAGAAATTCCTTAGGTTTTTATCTGTTTACCTTCCCTCCCACCCCCAAAAAAACAATTGAGTTAAAATGGCGGTCTTCTTCCCCTGCCCTGCCCTGCCTTCTATTCTCAGAACCCAGTTAGGGCTTCTTGCTCAGTGGGGTAGGAATTGGGGAACAACCTGGAGAACCGGCTGCAGGAGCGATAAAGCATTAAAGTTTCAAATGTTCCTCTGGACACTGGCCTCAGAAATGTGTTTGTTCCCTGCCCCTCAGGCTCAGCCTCACAGGTAGATCTCCCTCTTGGTGGTTTGGGATGAGGGGGTGGTGGCTGGCTGGAAGTCCGAGGTCTGGGTGAGAGGAATTTCCTCCATGGGGGAGTCCTTGCAGGGCTCATGGCTACTGTTGGAGAAGGCACTGTACGTGGGGAGCAGACGGAGGTTGGCCATTTTGGTGCTGCGCTCTTCTGAGAGTCTGGGGCTGCCATTCCCAACTTGCTCTTGACTCCCTCGGTCTTGGTAAGGCACAAAGGTAGAGAGTTTGAGGGCGTTCTTGGGCCTGCGGTTTGGGGAGGATTGGCCAGGCATCCAGCAGGTGTCAGAGTGGCCGAACTCTGTGCATTCCCGAGTACAGGTCCCAGTCATGGCTACATCAGGCAGAGGCCGGAGATCTGTGGAGAATGGAAGTTAAAGCAAACTTAAATGAGCACAGGCTCCACAGGATAGAAAGCAGCTGTTGAAACAGTTGAGGTACAGTCCTACCCTCACCAAAGGTATAGTCCTACCCTCACCAAAGGTAAGCCCATGATACTCTTGGAACACTTCACTGGTAGGGTTTCCATGGGAATCTCTCCCATGGAGGAAGGTATGGACTGCCCCAGGTATCTTATGGACCCTTCCCATCTCTCTCCCAGCCCCCAATCATAAACAGTAACAACAGTGCTCCCAAGGGTTCACAGCCATGCTGCCCTGGTGGAGTGGATAATCACACTGAGGAAGACCACCCAGAGGCTGAAGCTGAAAAATATCCTTCCATGCCTGAAAAAAATGGGAACTGTGCTCAAGGTAGGCCCAATGCCATGCAGGGAGTCACTGCCTCAGCTAGGATTGCAATTTGGGAATCCTGAGTCCCAGCCCCCACTCTTCAAGCTCACTGCCCCAACAGCCCTATTGTCCAGGATCAATTGGTTCCGCAGATGTGGACTGTACCTGCACTGCACCACCCAGGTAAGCTCTGCTGTGCACACTCTGCCCCACAAGCTGGCTCCTGGGACCTAGTGCCTAGGGAGCACCCCCCACATGTGTACTCCTGCTACATCCACCCCCCACACCCACCCCACACATATAAATACCCTTACACAATATACAAGAGCAAGACTTTATTTTGAGCTATTATACAATCACCTCTATATAAGCTACTCAAAAACCCCCAAATCAGGACAAATATTATTTTTTAATAAAATTAAAATATGTTATAGTAGCTATTTTAGCATATGATTTGTTTTTAATCTATAATTTGTTAAATATCTTCTAAAAGATTTTGCATATGTGGCCATAGACAGCTCATCAAAACTCATTAAGTGGCCCCCCAACCAAAGTAATTGCCCACCCCTGCTTTAGCCCCAAGTCTAGTATACTTTCCCAGGAAATGGGAGGCACAGAGTCTAGGCCCCCCCTTCCCTTTCCTTTGAGAGGATTTGACCCTGCACCACCTGAATTTCAAAGAACATTGCTTTAACCACAACACCATGAATACTTTTCTCCAGTTCCCCTCTGGAAATCACCTCTCTGGGCAGTCAAGAGAGGAAAATATATGAGCTAGGAAGGAAACAACAGGTTTGAGGCTGTGCAGCTCACTGATATGGCCCTGCTTCTGGAAAATAATAGATTCTGGTACTAGTCCATATCCTCTCACTGGGGCAGAAGTTTCTCTATTCTCCATCAGTTTCATCCAATGATTATTAAATACAAGGTGCAGGGGCTCAGCTTCAAGAGGAGAGCTATAAAGAATACTGGATAATGCCTGGCCTGTGACCAGAGCACTACACTAAGAAGTCAGTGTGTGGAATAAAATTTCAAACTGCCTCTTAGTGGGAGGTGGTGGACAGGGCTATATCCTGGGTCTCCTGGGTCTCCTATGTCCTGGGTAAGTGCCAAAACCACTCTGCTACTGGGTTTAAAATGCGCCCCCTCCCCTTGGGACTTGCATGTACCTGCTCAGCCACTACACGGCCTACAGTGCATGCTCAGTACCTGTGTGGATACTTGTAAGTGCACATTGTATGGGTAACAGAATCACAGCCTGAAAACTGCCATTTGGGCACACAAAGTGAAACAGAATTCTGTTCTAGGCCTGCCCTGATTTGCAGAGCCAGAACCACCCTGACACGCATTCTTTTCTCCCTTGATTATCCCCTCAATGAAGAATGGTCAGCACAAGCGCCAATCAGTCACCACATTATCTCTGACCCTACAGTCAGTCAACCAGGATATAACTGGCCATGCTGTTATTGGGTACTTCTCAACTGTTTTCGAACTGGACAAGGTCACTGTGCCTTAAACCTATATCAGCAGGGCCTTTGCAATGACAACGTATGCCATTGTGGACAAGTTCAAACCGTGTCCCACATTGTGGACTCGTGTCCATTTACAATGCTACATGGTGACTTTCAAGCTCTTCACACTGGCCTAAACTCCATATGCTAAATAAAATAAATAAATAAATCCCCTCCATGATTTACTGGCACCCCAATATAGCTCATGCACATAATACCTCACAGACTTTAACAAATACATAATACTTCAAGCCTGTCCAGAGAGGTGATACTCCCCCTCTATGCGACTTTGGTCAGGTCGCAGTTGTAGTACTGCGTCCAGTACTGGGCGCCGCACTTCAAAAGGGATGTGGCCAGCCTGGAGAGGGTTCAGAGGAGGGTCACCCGCTTGGTGAGAGGGCAGCAGGACAGGCCCTACGAGGAGAGACTGAGGGACCTGAACGTGTTCAGCCTCAGCAAGAGGAGGCTGAGGGGGGACCTGGTGGCTGCCTACAAACTCATTAGAGGAGATCAACAGCAAATAGGTAGAGCCCTTTTCTCCCCAGCACCACCTGGGGTGACAAGGAACAATGGTCATAAGCTGATGGAGAACAGGTTTAGGTTAGAGATCAGAAGGCATTATTTTACAGTTAGGGTGGCCAGAATCTGGAACCAACTTCCCGGGGAAGTGGTCCTCACCCCTACCTTGGGCAAATTCAAAAAGAGGTTAGATGATCACCTGTCTGGGGTCTTGTGAACCCAGCATTCATTCCTGCCCGTGGCAGGGGGTCAGGCTAGATGATCTGTTCAGGTCCCTCCTGACCCTAACTACTATGAAACTATGAGATGAGAGCAAACATATACATGCTCCCCTACATACAGTGGCCCCCAATATGACCAACACACATACCACAAACAGTGTACCAGACACACCTATTTTGCCACACCTAAACCTCTTCTACACGGTAAACCAAGTATACACAAACACACCTGCAATATCATTTATCATTTATCATCCTTCCCGATGCATTAAAGCACTGATACATATACCATAAGTATACTCAGCCATGTATAAGTCTACCACACACTATATCACATACATACAACATGACTCACAAAATAAAACCCTAAACAACTATCCCTTATACACCTTATGCCAGACTCAAATTGTGCCATATAAATACACCTACATGCTATGTAATAAACAAATTATACCATTGTAGCAGACTGAAGAGTAAGGCTCTGTGCCCCTCCCATGCCCCCTGGCACAGCAGGGAACACAGAAACTGCCAGTTGTTGGGTTGGAGGGAAAACCCGTCCCAGACTAGATCATGGGGAAACCCGGGGAAATTCCACATACCTGAGGGTGCGGCTAAGTGGCAGCAGGCTGAGAGGCCAGCAGATTGGTTGCCTGTTGTCTGGACAGAGAATGAAAGGCAGCTGTTGCCAACCAGAAGAAGGAAGTGAGAGGGAGCAGAGACTCCCAGCTGCAGCACCCCCAGGCATGGGTGAGAGGGGCAAGTGGCCCCAGCCTTTTCTGTTATTGTATATTTCTGTTAATTAACAGTGGACATGGAAGGAGTGTAGGGGTGGTGGAGCTCCCAGCCAGAGATACTCTGTTTAATTTAAACACACAAGGCAACCGAACCATTAAGCCTGGGCAGCCCTTAAAGGGACAGGCCCCAAATTTGGATGGTGACTACTGCAAGTGATAAATCCTACCTGTGGGAGGATTACTTTTAATAATGGTGAACTGCCTCTTGTTACATGAATTAAACTTACAGCAAGTCATGGCGGGTGAGAAAGACAGGAGGCGGCAGCACCCATAGGACAATCCTGGGTCATGGTAGTAGCCAGGCCTAGGTACCTACCCCTAATGCGCCCACATTTTGGTACACTGGCCAGCAAACAGTGACCCACCTTAGATGGAGGGAATGCCAACCACCACAGAAAACATGGATACCTGGCGGCAGATGCAGGAGGGTTTGCTATGCCTCTTGCAGGGGCAGTAGGAGCAGATAGACAAGCCGATACAGTCAAGATGGGAAGAGAATGAGGCCCACAAACTGCTGTTTACTCAGTAGTTGGCCTTGAATGAGTAGACAGTAGATGCCACTAGGACACCAGGAGCCAGGACAGAGGAATTTTGCATGCCCTGGGAAGACCTGGAGGCATACCTTAAGGCTTTCAAGAGAATGGCAACAGCAGCAGGATGTGATAGAGGCAAGTGGGGCTATCAGCTGGGTTCTCTCCTGACAGACAAAGCTCAGGCAGCTTAAAGGGCTCTGTCTCCAGAAGAAGCTGGGGACTACCAGAAGGTGAAAGCAGCAATTTTGTATCAGTTGGAGGTATCCACAGAGAACTACAGGTTGAAATTTCACCAGAGAAAGATGCCAGAAGAGAAAAAACCCTGGCACCTGGCATGGAAGTGGCGAGACCGGAAAAACATAACGTAGAAGAGATACTCAACTTGATAGTTCTTAAGCAATTTATTGCGGACCTGGAGAAGAGAACCCAGAAGTGGGTGCAACAGCACCAACCGCAGATGGAGATACAGGCCCTGAAGATTAATGGAGGCCTGTGCAGAAGCAGAAAAGAGCACACAGAGAGACAAAGGCATAAAGCTCTCTTAGCCATAGGAAGAGGAATAGCCAGAGGACCTGGTGGAGTAAAAGAAGGATGAGGTTGTGGTGAGGGAAGGCAGGATAGATGCTATAGTTGTGGAAAACATGGTCACAGAGCAAGTCACTGCTCCTAGGCAAAAGGGGAACATTGGCCCCTAAAGGAGATATCGTATGCTAATAATAATGACAGCAAGGCTTTCAAGAAGCCAGAGCAGATGGACTGTACTTTTGGTAAGGAGGGCCACTGAGGCCCACTAAAGCCTAAGGTGCAAGTACAGTTAGGAGCACTAATGCTCCATGCAGTAGTTGACAATGGTTGCTAGGGTTGTGTGAAATTTCTCTGGGTGTTTCATTTCAATGTGTTTTGAGCTCGAAACAGTGAAACTGAAACAAAACAAAAGCCTTCGAAATAGCTTCAAAATGAAACAAGGGCATGCAAAACATTTTGAACGTTTTGAAACATTTTGAGTTTTAAAGCTGGGCTTACTTTGCTTCAGCACTGGTCCCAGACTG